GGGGGGGGGACCCAGCTTTCTAGTTTCATTGAGCTAGTTTCTTAAAAATCTGGATACTCTTGAAATCATTTCACTGTAGTGCTTATTTTAAAATCTGATTTTGTAATGTTCTAAATTAAGTCTGAATCAAGTATATCATATTTGGCCATAATTAATAATATAACCCTACCATAAATTCATTTTCTCTAATAGCGTGAGCAAATTTACCACACTTGCTGTGGATTTTATCCAGATCAGTTTATGCAAGGACTTTGTATGTAGTTGTTGATGCCATGAAAAATGTTTTCCCTTTCCACATAGCTACATCCTGGTTGCAAAAACATTGGATCATTTTTCTCAGCAGTAGCCTACACATTCTAGGGCCATTCATGCTGGTGTGGAAATGTTCATGAGATGCAGACAGTATATTTGATTATTTCATGTAAACCTATAAAACACAATAGCTAGAGGTAATAGTAAATTTGGCCTCTACGCATGAATCATATATTTTTCAAAGTTTTTTAAAAAAACCATAAACAGGAATATTTTCAAAAAGAAAAAAAATATGCTACCCAGAGTTCATTACTAACAAATATTTAAATCAAATAAAAATGTGCATTTAAAAATGAAAATTATAGAACTAACTTAAGAAGGAAATATGTGTCTTTTAAGGCAGAAATGCAATACTGTGAATTTCTGCAAATGACTGAACTCTTATGATGGAGATTTTTCTTTATTAAATTTCCAGATTGAAAAATTGAGCTCTTCTCTACCTTGAGCCTCTTCCCTCTCCAACAAGCTTCAGGACAGTCTCAAGAAGACCTAGTTTATATGATATGCTCCCATGTTTAAAGTTATTCTTATTCACTGGAAGGTTCTGCATCAAGCTGTGTCACAATCAGGATCCTATTCTGACTTATCTTATATGCTTTGCTCTTTGTAGGCCTTCTCTCCCCTCACCCTCCCAGTCTTCCCAATTAGTGATTCCTCTAAAAGTATGGTAGCATCCATAATATAATGGCAAATTTGGGGGATTCTTCTGTAGATTTGGGACAGATAGGAATGAGGCCTTCTAGATTATAGAAAACAGGCCAAGATGCTGAGTTGTGTAACAGGAGTCTAACCCCTGTCCCTGGTTCTGCTATGCAATGCTGAGTCTTAGCATGCAGTCTCAGCATTGGCTGAAGGTAGACTTGGGCACATTGGCTCAAAAAGTACTTGAATAATTATCACAGAGCTATCATTGTTGTCTATTGTTACTTCTCCCCTGCTTTTCTCTCATTAGAAATAAGAGTTTCGAAACAGGAGTTCAGTAGAAAAAAATGAAGTCAGGGTTTGGAGGGACACTCAGGTGAAGTTCTTGATCAAATCAATTGATGTTTTGCAGGCTTCCCAAGTTAATTTTACAGCCTGAAGTGTTCATAAATAATTATTGTGGTTGCCCAAAGGTACTTTGGTTCTGTGCCTAATGCTACATATAGTTAGAGAGTGAGTGAACAATGACCACATTCTGGCTACCAACTCCACACTGTTGGGTTTCAGTAAAATTTCTCTCAGCCATCTCTGTGTTTCTGAGAATGGAATGGTGCCAATTTTGAGACTGGGAACATTCATGTAATTCTTTAATATGTGAAAATTTTAGTGCAGACTAGTATTATGAATAAGTGTTTTCTTGTTTATTTCAACTGAAGGTGAATTGTGCCCATATCCAGGATTGTCCAGTTTCCATCCAAATTGACAAAAGAATTGTTGCCCTATAAAATAATGTACATTGTAAAGTTCTTTTGTGGCTTACCTTATTTACCAGGAATTTTTAAAGACAATATTGAGCTCCGTATATTTTTGAAATTGCACGTATTCTAATAAGAAACAGTGAATGTTAAAAACAGTATGCTACATTTTATCCATTGCTTTTTTTCTTAAAGTTTTCTTAAAGCCTAGTCCAGTAGATCATCTGTCTCCCTCCAGTTGTCTCTAGCTAGAGCCATCCAGGCAGCATAACATTGGTGCAAGAGAAGGAGCTTGTGGTCTGGCACACCTAGAAGGCACCAAGATGGAGTAGGAGCAGTAAATGTCAATTGGAAATTTTGCAGATGTTGAAAACAGTGAAATTAGACCTTAGTTACACTTCCCTAATGCCATAAAATCATGGCTTTTCTCAGTTGTCTTCTGTGGTGTAATTTAAAGAAGTGGTTGGTATTGGGAGCGTCACTTTTTGCTATTTAATCAACAAGCCACCACTCATTTTCAAAAGTACCTTCTAAGACAAAATGTAATCTTTTAGCCGCCTCCTTCTTTGAGTCACCATGTGATATGCTATCAACAAATCAGAAGTGTGCCTCTTCAAATAAATGTCACATGGAGGAATGTACCATTTGTGAGAAAACTGGCCTCTATAAACACACAGCACTTTTAAGTCACTTTGATTTTTTTTAGAAAGCCATTTTACAGTGTTACAGTTTTACTGCAATCCTATATTGTAAAGGTAAAGATTGCGATTACTCCAAACTTCTGCATTGAGCTCTATGACTGAGCAGGGATTTGAACCTTAGTCTCTGCAATCTAAACTCAATATTGTCTTTATCACACTACCCCATACTGAAGCTAAGTAAGAAGACAACATTGTGATACTTGCGTAGGATCATTTTGCAAAACTCTGTGGTCTTTATCCTCAGCCTTGAATATGACAACTCATGTATACCTTTATAAAGATGCCATTGAATAAAAAGACCATTGTTTCTAAGAGACTAGCCTATTAAGTGTCAGCCTGCTTTCTAATCCCTCAGAATACTTGGAAATTACTGAATATAACATTAAGTTTACAGATATCCGCCACACCAAAATGTGTACCTCCTTGGAGCCAAATGAGGTAATGTAAGAATGGAAGCCAAGAGAATAATATTTTGTGTGTTCTTACTGCGTTGCAGATATAGAGTTAAGCATACCATTACAGTTGTTAACTGTGCCCAAAAGACAGCATATAAAAAATCACGAGTTTCTTTCTGCAATTGAAAAATCTTTAATTATATTAAATGTGTTTGGGAACATACCATATCCAGTGCCTTGGAAGCTAGAGCGAGCTTTGAAATTTAAAAATGTGTGCTGTTAAGCATGTGATAGTAGTGATTTGTAGAATTTTCATACAAGGCAAATTAAGTTTCATGGCTGGCTTTAACTTGATTAAAAAGAAATACATGGTTGGGATTTTAGAGCCTGTGTTTATTTTAGTTATTGGGACAGTGTAAAGAATTCAGCCAAACAGGTGATAAAAATATGGCTAATTTCCAAAGATGAAATGTGTATGTGAACCAATTATTAGAAGAAACAATTGATACTAAAAATCTGCCTGACCAGTTGCACTTTTGTGTTGGCTTTTGTGAAGACTCTCCCATTTCACTGTAGAACGGTATCATGATTGTACAGTATTCAATTATTGGGAATTAAGTACTGTTGCTTGTTCAGATTGCTTCACACATTTTAGACAGTAGCAAACAGACTTGCCTTAGTATGTATAGAAGTGAGTTTATGAATACTTTACAGCCATCCATAATCCTGCAGCATTGTGTCTTACAGTGGGATTGGAACATCATCCAAGTCTTCTTAATCAGTTCTGGTTAAACAAACACCTCAAAATACATGACACACAATTTGGGAGCTGCTTAACCAGAATCACTTTTATCCATTTATAGGACTTAAATGAAGCTGAGATCATGTCACAAGTACAGGATTATAGATATTATTTATTTATATTTATTAAACATATTCGTATGCTACTCCAATCAAAATAACTCTTGTTGGCTTACATAAAAAAATAGTTCTAAATGGTACACAAACATTCTCTTATCACTGGGAGCCACAGTATGTTTCCATTGTTTTGTATTTGATGGGCAAAATGTGTGTTGCATTTCTTACTATTGTAAGAAATTTAAAAATGACATTTAAAATCACCCTCAATTCCTTGAAAATGAACTGAATTGCGCAATGTTTATACACTGTGTTAACAGGCTGATCTTATGGGCACCAATTTCTTTCACATTATTCATTTAAGTTCAGTACAACTGAGGTGGCACATAGCTATGATTTACAAACACAATGAGACATACTTCTGTGTTATGCTTGTACATGATTGTGTTGACTTCTACCAATTAATGCTTTGAAAATCCCAACAAATAAAAAATTACATACAGTTACACTTTCTGTTTTGCTTTAGCATAAACATAAATTACTTGTGAAAATAATCCTGAATTGGCAGAAATATTTGCTTTTTATTATTCCCTCTAGAAAAGGAATTCTGTAAATAGAAAACTCATCAAAATTCTTAATTAAATCAGTGTGACTTTCAGTGAATATCATCTTTACTGCTTTTGGACTGAATAGCACTGGGTTTTGCCTAGAATACAGCAGGCTTCTCTAGCAATGCAGAGCTTGCCATTTAAGAACAGCTCACCATATACTTTTTTCCTTCATAAAAGGCTGATATCAGCCTTACTACCAGTTTCATTTATATAAATACTCAGACAGTGGTCCACCTTAGCTAAGTTGAACAATATGATCTAAGAACACTTGAAAAACCACTGTGATTGACTGCACAACTAATAAAATTAGAAGATACTGATTTGCAGCAATTTCAGTTTGGTGGATACCCCCCAACATTTTTGAATGGCCATATGATAATAAAAATGGGGCATGCAGTAATGCCACTTTTAATGACTATCACCTGAAATTAATAACTTTACTTTTATGAAAAGCTCTGTGGAGTTTTTTAGGTCAGTCTGTATTTCTGAATTTTTGAGAACAGTGGGCATACAGACTGCATTCATATCTAGCACTGAACAAGCACATTTAATGTAACTTATGGCTCTACTTGCATTATTAATTGGATATATTTAGGAAATAAGCAATGGCTACTGTATATGGAGTATTTTTCTCAAAAATAAAAATATACTGCATGTATTGTTTAAAACAATTTATTAAAGAATGACACATCTAATGAAAAAAGGACAGTGATAATAAATGTTATCATTTCTATGAAATCAGTCTTCAAACTGTTTTAAAAGACCACAACTGATGCACTGAGAAGAAATTTAAACACATAGGAAGTGAGTATATAATAGTATCATGGCTATTATATATGCTTGTAATAGTCATTTCTTTGAAGTTTCAGATATCAGAAATACAGTTTTGAGATCCCAGTTGTAAGCATTTTCATGAAGACTGTAAGATTCGGCCTTCTGCTGCATAAGCTCAAGCTGTTTTGTGGTTCTATGAGACATGCAGTCTTAAAAGAATGGCAGCATACATAAATAACTTCAAGGGAATAAGTCTGCAGAGATCAGAAGCCCTGCTTCTGGCTACTGGAACATATAATTATTCAAAGGAAGCATTGTCGGGCAACTTTTCATAACACCCAGTAGAATATATCTTAAATGATAATCTCATAATTGCTCTTAGAGTAATGTGACTATAATTTAGTGCACTGTAACTAGATAACAGCAGACATGTCCAATCTCTAGCCCAACCGTTGATGGCTGGTTCCCCATTTGTTCTGTAAGCATATCAGAAAGGGTTGAATGGAAACAAGCTTTTTCCCATCATTGCAAGCCTTTAGAATCACTTTTATTATTTCAGCGGCAGCTACTTTAAAGCTAAATTGACATACAAGACAGCAATGTAGTGGCTAGGGTGTTAAACCTGGACTCGGCAGACTTGGGTTCAGGTCCACCATCAGTCAAAGAAATTCATTGTGTGACTTTGGGGCAGTCATTATCTTATACATTTGTTGTGAAGCAAAACTGGAGTGCATATATAAAGTGCCTGAGTGAGTGGGTAGATGAATGATGCCTGACATGATTGTCTGGTGAATATTACCACTCTGCTGGGCAATTTTTGAAGGCTAGTTCTTTATACTTAGCATTATTTTGGGGTCTGTACCTCTGGCGTGGACCCTGAGGTTTTTTGGTGAGTATGGGTGTTTTGTGTCCTGGCAGAATTGAGGAACAAGATGTGACTGCAGGTCAAGTGTTTATGGATCAAATGGAATGGAAGACCAGGGAACTGAGAAGGCTGGTGAAACTCAAGACTGTGTGGAACTTCAAGTGACAGGTACAGAAGAAAGGGACCGAAAAGAAGCAAAGTATAGAAAGTAGAAGGCAGAGCATGTGAATTGGGGGAAGGGAAGAGCCGAGAGGAGGAGAAACCGGGAATGCCGGACGTGGCAAGAAGCTACCAACGTGACAAACTTGTGGCAGACAGCATGGCGCGTTCCAGTTGGTGGCATGTGCAGTTGGGGCAGGGATGGAGGCTATTATTGCCATGCAGACACAGAATGGCACGTGGAAGCAGAGAGACTACAGTGGGAGACCAGCAAGTTCAGCAGGGGCCCTGCTTGGTACCACTGTCACAGCTCCCACGGAAGGTGAGAGGATATCAGCTGCCTGAAGAAATTTGCCTAGGAAGAGAAAAGCTATTACCCTTTCTGTCAGCCCTTCACGGTAGGCCAGGTCAGGGAAGACACCACAAGAAATACTAAAATTCTATATAGGCTATAATAAACAGAATCTTGGAAGCCTGATAGTGTTTCCCTTCCCCTGCCTTATGCCAAAGATGGTCTAAGTCAGTGTTGTCCAAACTTGGCCACT